AATGAGAGCAAATATAGAAACCATACATGGAGGAAATATAGAAACCATACATAGAACATGGAAGTTTATCTCCTTTACCGATCTCCTTGACATAATCAAAGAGATACCACCATGACTGCTACCACAGTGCATGCTGATGCCCAGGCATGGGGGACCTGCTGCACCAGGCACTGTACAAACACAGAAGGGGGTTTGAAATCCTTGTCCTGAATTGTTTGGAGTCCTCAGCATCAGCTGAGCTGAGAAAAGGAAAACACAAAAGCAGAATGACAATGGTGGCAAATGGACTGGTTCTACCCACCTATGTTGTAGAAGGGGAACATTAGCAAGGAAAGAAAAAGTGCGAGGTAAATACAGGCAAAATGGAAAAACAGGAAAGCGCAAGAGCTCAAGGCAGAAATAAGGTGAAGACAAGGAAGCGCAGAAGGATGATTCAGTGCCGAGACTGGGGATATAGACATACTCCAGGTCAGAAACAGGCATGCCCGATTTAACATGTGGTTGTGCTATAATTAAGTGTTGTGTGGATGTTACCATTTCAAACTCCATCTTAAAATAGCATTCCTCAGATTTTTCAATGGGAATGAACAAGGTCTGGTAAAACTATTTTGAACGAATGTGTCTCATGTCAAAACCAGAGGTTTCTCAACACGAAGTCCACCCACAGGATACCACATCCTTATATTGGGAAAAACTTACTGAGGCATTTCATCTCAGGTCTTCATCTGAATCTAAGCATTTTGTTTCTGGCAGCCATCAACCTGCAAGTACCCCCAAGATGCCAATTTCCTGTGGAAGAGGCAGCCCTGCTCGGGACCTCTACCAGGAGGGGACACCGAGGGTGCTCAAGAGACCAAGGAGCAGCACCCCATTAGGCTGAGATGGATCCATGCTGGGATTAGTGCTGACCTCAAACACAAAGTTTGGAAACTAAACATTTCACCTTAGAAACACCAAAATAAAATGTTCTGATACTTCCAAGGGGAGCTTTTTTGAATTTTCCACTAAAGACTTTAATTTCAGGATGGAAGCAAGCACCAAGATACTGGAACTTTTAACATAAGAATCCCCATTTTGCAAGTTTACCCAGGAGAGCTGTGGCAGAGTCATGCTAGCCTTCAGGAATAAACAGCTCCTCCCCATCCCCATCCCCCTTCCTCCTCTTCCCTCAAATACCAGCAAAACCACAACTTAGATTGCCATCAGGCCACTGAGAATTTTATATTCAGTGATTGCCCTCGGCCACCCTGGGCCATTCAGCTGAATTAAGTCAAAGGGACTTCTGGCAGGCTTAAAAATAGGCATGTGTTTAAGAGCTTTGCTGGCTTTATTGCTGCAGTGAAAAAAAAAAGAAGTTGGAGAGGCGTCAATCTGGAATTGAAAATATCATCAATACCTGCAAGACACAAAATATAATTGGAATGAATAATTAATTCTGGTCTACAGTGCTTTGCATGAAGCTTAACTGAGGACAAAGTGAGAGACACCAACTCTTTTTCCCTTCCTGTTATTTTACATTCATGGGGAAACAGGTTCAGTAATCGG